GTCTCTGTTCCTGGGTGAGGTCTGTGGTTCCTGGATGAATCAATGCGAGGTGATGGCCCAGTCGTTATAGGCAATTCAGTAGAGGCCTGCTACCATTGTATTTCAATCATTCTCATTCATCGGGGAACCAGTTTACATGGGAGGGGTACAATGAATCATATTGTTGCAATGTAGAATGCCCAAGCAGAGGACAGAAGATGGAGGCTTGACATAAAATGGAAACTTGACATGACTTTGGTTCACTTACAAACTCAGGCCTAAACCATACAATATCCAGATGAAACAATAAAAATCAATACAAAAATGATAATACAATATACAACAGTAAAAATCAATACAAACCTAATAATAATACAATATAAAACAGTGGATATCCAAAACCAAAAACTTGCTACCAAAATAAAAATGTTTAGAGCTTATCCTAAGTTTGAGCTCACTTATACTTATCTATAGGGAATAGAGAGGGAAAGAAAAAGTCAGAAATGGTTGGGGAAGGGGAGCGAATGCAAAAAAAGAAAGAAAGAAAGAAAAAACTGGGGGTTTTGCTACAAGAGGACAACCAGACTGATGGCCACACTACCGCCAACCCCACAGCTGACAAGGCTCACGTTGGTGGGCATGGATGACTGGTGCCTTCCGAGTCTGGGGGGCACCAGATCACTGACCAGGGGTGGGGGTCCCCCCACGGCCCCAGTGCTGATCGCCAAGCCCAAAATCATTAGTGGCAAAACCAGATGTGCACTTCTATTGGCCCTTCCCATTTCACAGCTGGCATTGGCAGGGAGTGCATGGCCAACCTCAGTGGGTGCACATGGGACCCTGTGCATCACCAGTGTTGGTGGGAGTGTTTTCAGTGCTGCCCCCACTGTGAACCTCATCAACTGCCTGGCTCACAGCAGGGAGAATGCTGCTGCTGCTGCTGCTGCTGCTGCGAGCCTCATTGGCTGTGTGGCTTGCAGTGAGGGCAGCATTGTTGGTTGTGGGGCTCACAGCAGGGTTTTCCTCACTGCTGCTATGAACCCTGCACCTCATGAGGCTTGCAGCAGTGGCAACATTCTGCCCTTTGCCATGGCTTCAAGCCCTATACCTCATGAGGCTCACAGCATCTGCAGCATTCTCCCCCATTGCCCCTGCTGTGAGCCCTGTCAGAGACCATGATCCCAGGCTCCCTCTGCATTGGTGATAAGGTGTGATAGGATCTAATGTGCAATCCCACAATTGCACCTCTGTCATGCACGTGTGGCATGGCAGGAGGCACAATTGTGCGGATCATCTGTTAGATCCCATTGTGCCTTTATTTGCATGTATAGTGGGGCCCTTAAGATGCCTACCTTGCGATATGTTAGAGACCTTTAAAAAAAATACTAAAAATCTAGATGCAAAATTACAAGTTATTTTTGAATATCTTAGGATAAAATCCAAGGTACACTAAAAGTTAATGGGAGGTTTGCCCTTGACTTCACTGGAGCCAGGATTACACCTGTGGGTTTATTCTTTATATAAATTGTTACACTCGAAGCCAACTCAGAAGCTACTCAGAATTAACAGAATGCTAGAAATGATAGAAACTAAACAGTGTTATCAATAGCAATATACTTCACATTGCAACACTGTTAATTGCTTCCCCTTCATTAACTTTTATTTATATATTATTGTTATTTTGCAACGTATGTATATTTATATATACATATATTCTAATGGCAGTAGGATACTAGTGAAGAGTCCCTTTTTTTTCCTCCATTGGGTTGGAAGATCTGTGTGGAAGACCAGGCTCGCACTAGAATAACAGTTTTGTTTTCTTTGCTGACAAAACTATTTTAGAGACCTGTGGACACAGTGATTATCGCTGTGGAAGTGGAGAATGTATTCCGCTAGCCAACCTCTGTGACAAACTCAAGCAATGTAAAGATGGCTCCGATGAAGCAGAGTGTGGTAAGTCTCCCTTAAGTGCAAAGAGCTGTCCATGTATTTTTCAATAATAATGACTTTTATGTTTGATTTAAGGAAACAAAAGAAAGATGAAATATAAAGAGCTAGGCCCTCCACTGTTTTAAATCGACCCAGCTCTTAATGGCACGGTGAAGCTGTGGTGATTTATACAAGTTTGGGTTCTGGCTCAAGGCCTCTGTCAGAGACAGTAAAGAAAGTGACTCGTTCCAAAACCTTGTATCTGTACGTGAAGGTATCCCTGCAAAATGCAGGGAGTTGTCTCTAAATTTAAAGGTGCAGGCTACTTAAAACAGTTTAAGAGCATAACTCTTGAATTGAAGAGTTAAGTCAACAGTATTAGCAAAAAGATGACTCCTTTAAAAATAATTCTCTTGCTGTTGAAAACTCCAAAATGATTAGTGCTAGTAAAGCCTTGCCCCAAAATCTAGCACTTCCATGACTGTCTCGACTCCAGCTTCATTAAGAGAACAAAGGAGAGGACAGCTGTGGGAAGCTGTGGGAGCAGGAATTGGATCAGCTTTTCAGAGATGCTCACAAAGTATGTGCAAGTTGCTATGGCGAGGGAACCAACAGCTGCTGTGACTCTACCATCTGTGAAGCTCCTGTTTACTTCAGCAGCCGTAATGTGCATATATGCAAACATGGGCAGATCTAGGATTTTGCAAAGGGGGGTGCAGATGGTTGTGCATTATTCCATGTAGTACAACATATACTTTTCTCCAGGTAAAAAGGAATTAGAAGCTTTACTAATATTCAAGTGAGCTAGGACTATATTATTCACAGATTCACAGAAGTTTAGGGCTGGAAGGGACCTCATGAGATCATTGGGGCAGTTTAAGATCAAATTAAAAACTTTACTGGAATAAGTTGGAAACAGTCTGCAGGGTTAAGTAAGAAATATGTTACCAGAAGGAGCCAACAGCCAGAAAGCTAGCTTAATTAGTGGAACATGAAGTCTATTAAAAAGGACAGCTGGTAATTACCACCTGTGGAGTGAGGAGTTTAGAAGAATTCACACAGATTTTAATGAGCCATTTGTTAAGGAAGTACTAAACTAGAAGCACAGTATCTAAGGCACGTTGATGAGCATGTAGACACTCCCAATGCTGTCTGACTAGAAATGCTGCTGCCACTGCCAGGTTATTAACTTTGGATGGAGAAGGAATGCAAGGGGGGGTGCAACTGGATCTGCTCCTGTATCTAAAGGCAAACATTAACTTTTCTTACTGTTTTAGCTTGTTATTTTTGATGGTGAGAATATTATATATTAAAAATAAGATAGTTAAGTTTTTTTAGTTTAGTTTAATATTAGTTTAGCTTAGTAGTATATATTAAATATTAGCTTAGGTTAGTTTAATATAGCATATTAAAACAATATAGTTTATAATAAAATAAAAATTATATTAAAGTATCTTACAGCAAAAGCTGTGAATATAATTATTTAACAAAGAATAGATGAAAAAGATTTTATAAACATTTTTAATGCAGGCATTTTTTAAATATGGCTAAGGTAATCTCTGTCCTATACTGGTATTCTGTACTTGATTCCAAATATGTTTTTGCCATAGCTTGTTCTAATACCATGTACTAGAATATGTAATCTAGTTTGAGGTAAACTGTTTCCAGTTAAAAAAAAGAAACAAAACAACTAATGCAAAAATTGGCTTCAATATTAGTCTGCACCTTTAATAATGAGGTAAAAGATTAAGTGACTGCCTCCTCTTCAAGTTGCTTTTTATGATGTTTCCAAATACTTTTTTCTGAATGTTTTCTTCTTCAAAAGCTTTGATGTTTTGTCTCTCTCAGTCGGGATTTGTGACAAAGCGAATGACAAAATGATAGCATTTCCCACAAGATGAAAACTTCAGTTTTTCAGTCAGCTACTCTTTTTATGGTAATCACCAGTTTGGTTGCAATGATACTTGGGTAGCTAAGTCCTTGCATCATGATCTGAAATAAGGTACTGCTGGCTGAGAAAAGGCCTGAAAACAGGTTGGTTGAAATCTGGGCTTTTCATATCAATTGAACAGCTTTCATTGATGAGGCGTTGGCAGTAACTTTGTTGGACACTGTCTCCCCTCCTCCTGCCCCCGGGATTAGAAATTCAGGAAGATGTGTCAGTGACAGGTTTGCCATCATTGGGCTATATCAACTTTAAGGCACATATTTCCTCTTTGCTGTAAGGCCAAGTAACTTAGAGCTCTGTGGTCCAGTACTAATGCATCTAGTCTGTTGTCTGCATTATATTTCCGGTACTCTAGCCTAGCTGATAATTCATATGTCTGTTTTTGTCCATAGTACGTCTGTTTAATGGTTCTTTAAGTGTCAGTGGGTTGGTACAATTCAGGATTGAGAATAAATGGCATCTAGTATGTGCAGATTACTGGACTGAGCAGATTTCAAACAATGTTTGCCAACTGCTAGGACTAGGGTAAGTACTATTATTCATTGCCTTTGTCAGTAACTCATTAACACATCTATTAAATATAGAATGTGTTTATGTTTTTCTAGTTAGCTTGATCAACCAAAATACTGGGGGGGGGGAATAAAAAGAATGTGCCCAGCTGAAAAACTGCAGTATTTTGTCCATTCATCCTATTCCTCAAGCAGTATACTGCCAATTTCTGTGGCACATATCTCTGAAAGAGTTACAGGAATGAGGATGCCTGTTTGAATAAACTGATTGGTTATGCATACGAATCACTCCAAAGACTATCACTTTTATGATGATTCCAGAACTAGTGTTAGCAAACAGCAGTCTTCATTATTCAGCTGTCATACTGATGTTCATTTCACATAAATTGCAGACAATTACTTGGTATTGCACAACTGGCCTGACAGTTCCAGTTGTCATTTGATCTTACTGTATCAGTTCAGACAAGAAACTGAACTTCTTTTGAGGCTTGGGAAATAATTTACTACTAAGAAATGACACTGTACCTTTTTATTAGCTGCATAAATAAATGGAAAAGCCAAAACACTGCAACAAAGGCTTCCATAGATTCATAGATGCTAGGGTTGGAAGGGACCTCAAAGGATGATCGAGTCCAACCCCCTTCCAGTGGCAGGAAAAAGTGCTGGGGTCATGTGATCCCAGCCAGGTGCTTGTCCAGTCTCCTCTTGAAGACCCCCAGGGTAGGGGAGAGCACCACCTCCCTTGGAAGCCCATTCCAGATTCTGGCAACCCTAACTGTGAAGAAGTTATGATGTTCAACCTAAGCCTCTACTCTCCATCAGCCTGTGGCCATTGTTTCTGGTTATTCCAAGGGGTGCTTTGGTAAACAGAACATCTCCTCTTCCATGCTGCCCGCCCCCTACCCCCCAAGTGAATTTGCATACTGCCACAAGATTCCCCCTCAGCCTTCTCTTGCAGAGGTTGAAAAGGTCCAGGTCCCTCAGTCTTTCCTCATAATCCTTCCCTGCAGGCCTCTAACCATACAAGTGGCCCTCATCTGGACCATATCACAGCTGTCCACATCCTTCTTGAATTACGGTGCCCAGAACTGGATGCAGTACTCTAGCTGTGCCCTGACCAGTGCCACGTAGACAGGGAGCATCACCTCTCTGGACCTGTTTGTGCTGCACCTACTAATGCATGACAAAATGTGGTTAGCTCTACTAATTATTTTGTCACATTAACGACTCACATTCATCTTGAAGTCAACAACAACTCTAACATCTCTTTCTGCCGCTGTGCTGTTGAAAAGGTCATCCCCCAGCCTATAGGTGTGCTGGTGATTCCCTCTCCCTAGGTGCAGCACCTTGCACTTGTCCTTGTTGAACTGCATCCTATTGTTTTCTGCCCATTTCTCTAACCTGTCCAGGTCTGCCTGGATTTGGATTCTTCGAATCAGTGTATTTGCTTCACCCCATAGTTCGGTATCATCTGCGAATTTGGACAGAGTGCTTTCCATGCCTTCGTCCAGGTCTCTGATGAAGCTATTGAACAGCACCGGCCCAAGGACTGAGCCTTGGGAGACCCCACTGCCCACATCTTTCAAGGTCGATACCGACCTGTCCACCATCACTCTCTGGGTATAACCCTTAAGCCAATTTACCATCCATATGACTGTGTTAATCGTCTATGGCACAGCTGCTCAATTTGTTATAAGAATAGGATGGGATACTGTGTCAGAGGCCTTTTTAAAGTCCAAGTAGATGACATCTACCTCGACTCCTGCCTCTAAGTATTTACTGACCTGGTCATAGAAAGAAACAAGGTTAGTCAGGCAGGAGCTACCTGCTATGAACCCATGCTGGTTGGTCTTCAGCATATTACCCACTGGACTCCTACAAATGTGATCCTTGATAATTTTTTCAAGGATAGAGGTGAGACTAACCAATCTATAGTTACTCAGATCCTCTTTCCTCCCCTTCTTGAAAATAGGGACCACACTGGCACTTTTCCAGTCCTCAGGGACCTCACCTGAGCACCACGAGTGCTCATACAGTTGTACCAGTGACTCTTCTATGACACTGGCTAATTCTTTCAGCATCCTTGGATGGAGCTCATCCAATCCCACTGATTTAAACGCACCCAGCCCCTCCAAGTGTCCCTTTACTAGGTTGGCACTGACAGTTGGTAGGCTGATGTTTCTCCTGCTTCTGTCAGTAATGCATTTGAGAGACTTGTTTAGATCCAAGTTCAAGAATACAGAGGGGAAAACACTCAATGAAGAGCTCTGCTTTGTCCTTCCTATCTACCACCATCTGCCCTTGTCTATCCTGTAGGGGTCCTATGCTGCCCTGCTCCTTCTTTTTGCTCCCTGTGTACCTGAAGAAGGACTTTTTGTTGTTCTTAATTTTTGTCGCCAGCCTGAGTTCTAATCCTGATTTGGCCTTCCTGATTCCCTCCAAAAGCAAGTATACTCCTCCTTGGCAGCTACCCCCTTCCTCCACAGCATGTATGCCCCCTTTTTGCCCTCAGGCTTTCCTGGATTTCCCTGTTTATCCAGGAGGGTTTCTTGGTCCCTTTGCCCCCTTGTCTATGCAGTGGGATTGCTTCCTCCTGTGCCCAAAGGATTACTTCCTTGAGAAATGACCACCCTTCCTGGACCCCCATTTTGCCAATGCTCTTGAGCTTTAATGCCCCACTGCCTAATCTCCTAAGCACCCTGAAGTCAGACTTTCTGAAATCTAGCACTTCTCTGCTGGTTACTTTTCCCACCCTTTGCCAGATAGTGAATTCAATCAATTGATGATCCCTATCCCCTAGGTTACCTTGTACCTGCAGATCCCCCAACAAGTTGTCCCCTGTAGCCAGTACCAAGTCCAGCAAGGTGTTCCCCCAAGTGGGATTGTATACCTCTTTCATCAGGTGGAGATCCTGTATGCTGGTTAAGAACCTGTGTGAGCAATTAGTTCTGGCTGACTGATCCTCCCACTAGATGTCAGGGTAGTTTAGGTCACCCACAACAACCATATCTCTTGACCGTACAGCCTCTGAGAGCTGCCCAGAGAATTCCAGGTCTAGCTCATCCTCCTGGTGTGGTGGTCTATAGTAGACCCCCACTACCAAGTCCATTTCCCCTTGACCCCCTTGTATCCTAACCCACAGTACCTCAATTTGGCCCTCCTCTGATCTCATCTTGACTATGGATGTATATTGCTCCTTAGCATAGGGAGCAACACCCCCCCTCCCTTTTTTTCCCCACTCTATCCCGTCTGCACAACCTATAACCTTCAATGACTACTGCCCAGTCATGAGTAGGGTCCCACTAGGTTTCAGTTACCCCAACCAGGTCAAAGTTGTTGCTTGCAAGCAGGAGTGCAAGTTCCTCCTGCTTGTTCCCCATGACACATTAGTGTAGAGACATTTAAGCCCCCTAGTGAGTGCCCTTGCTACCCCCTTGTCCTGATGTCTGTCAGGCCCCTTAGTACTTACCTGGGCTGATCCGTCGCATAGCTTATGGTTCTTGATGTTCGTTACCTAACTGAAACCACACATTTCTGGAAATCGCATGAAAGAACTTTGTCTCATTGATATTCCTAACCTCATTTTCTCACCACAGAGACCTAACTAAGCCTCTGAATGTTTGTGTATGATAATTACTGACCTGGGCCTCCACAAATTATTGATCTGGGCCTCCTGGGCTTACTTATTCAAATATGTCTTATTTCATCTATCCAAAGTCAGCTTCTTTATAAACCACATGTCCTGAGGGTGAAAGAATAAAATCTTATATATTTTTCTGTTGTGGGATATTGATAAGTTTATTACAGGGTTATATAAGACAGCATTCAGCACATTATGAAATATTAGAATATGCAATAAAGCTGTACAGACTACATGACATCCCCAAGATCCTTCTGCAAAATATAGGTAAAATGCAATTCCAACAATTTTAGAAAAGCTCCCAAATATATAGAGAACCTCAGATTTTTGTTTGTTTGGGTTTTGAGGGTTTTTTTGCCTTTTCAGGTCACTTTGAATTATTTTACATATTCTGTTGTAAAAAAAAAAGGTTTTAAAGTTCTAAACTTTTAAAGTTCTAAACTTCCCTTGCCATAACTTGAGACTGTTGCTCCTTGTTGTGTCATCTGCCACCACTGAGAACAGTCTAGCTCCATCCTTTTTTGAACCCCACTTCAGGTAGTTGAAGGCTGCTATTAAATCCCCTCTCAGTGTTCTCTTCTCTAGACTAAATAAACCCAATTTCCTCAACCTCTTCTCATAAGTCATATATGCCCCAGCTGCCTCACTATTTTTTGCCCTCCACTTGATTCTCTTCAATTTGTCTACATTCTTTCTGTAGTAGGGGGCCCAAAACTGAACACAGTACTCCAGATGTGGTCTCACCAGAGGGGAATAATTACTTCCTTGGACCTACTGGCAACACTCCTAACATTGCAGCCCAGTATGCCGTTAGCCTTCTTTGCAACAAGGGCTGGCTCAAATTCAGCTTACTGTTCACTGTAAACCATCCCCCACCCCTTCCTTTCGTGCAGAGTCACTGGCCAGCCAGTCAGCCCCCAGCCTGTAATGGTGCATGGGATTGTTCTGTCCTAAGTGCAGGACTTTGCACTTGTCCTTGTTGAACTTCATGAAATTTCTTTTGGCCTAATCCAACAATTTTCTTAGGTTACTCTGAATCCTAGCCCTACCCTCCAGCATATCTTCTGCTTCCTCCCCCCTCAGCTTGGTATCATCTGCAAACTTGCTGAGGGTGCACTTTATGCTGCCTTTCAGATCATTGATGAAGACATTTAACAAAACCAGACTGACTCCTGGAGTAGTCCATTTGATACTTGCTGCCATCTAGACATTGAGCCATTGAGTATTGATTACCCTCTGAGCCCAACACCCCCACCAGTTTTCTATCCACCTTACAGTTCATTCATTCAGCCCATACTTCCTTAGCTTGCTTGCGAGAATGTTGTAGGAGACTATATCAAAAGCCTTGCTAAAATTGAGGTACATCACATCCACTG